CGACGTCCAAAAATTATAGTCAAAAATCCAAAACTATGACTGCAAAAACAACAAAATATTTTTGCAAAAATCAGGGGGAGTGGAAATTGTAGCGGGCTCAAAATTGAGCTTGTTCAGTGGTAATTGCATGAGCAAAAGGAACCAGATGGCGTCATTCTGGCGTCAGCAAAGGCCGAAATCCGCCATGTTTTTGGCGACACTTTTTGATGCCGAGCACGTCCTCCAGTTATAGTATAGCTCAGTGGTGGTCATCCTCATTTATCTCAAAAATATGGCAAGCAAGATTTCAATTTTAAAAGACATATGTTTGCAAAAACGTTTCATATACAACAAGCTTGAAGCAATTTTGTCTGAAGAAATGAGAAGAATTGGTTTACTACGGGAAATCGGGAAATATACGGCAAGTTTGCTTTGAATATTTTTAAAATGTTTACGAATTTTGTTGCTTTAACTTTTTACGTATTAAATAAAAAACATGAACTATAGAAGCTCTAAGTTTCATAAATTACCGTTTAATTTGAGAAAAAATCTTAAAATGTAAAGGCGAAAACAAATTGATTTGAAAACTGAACTGAAATTACCTAACAATTTTATTTTATTTGTATTAAACTTATCATGTTTTGTTAAGTAAAAACAGTTTATCGGCAAAATGTAGGTTTACTTGAATAAACATTACAAAACATTTTACGAAGCATTTCAAGTTAAATTTTACATTAAATCAAAGCTCACAAAATGCAAAATAATATACCTACAGTATGTATTTCGGAAATTTATTGTTGTATAGTTAAAAGTACGGCAATTGCTAGATAGTATACTTCAAAATAAGATTTCCGTTTTTATTCTATTTTTAAAATAAGATAGGGTTAGGTTCAGTGCTTCCATTTTTAAAATCAAAATTTCTCATTTTTGTCATCAAAATTTCTCTAAAATCCTTAGATTGTATATGTTATTTCCAACAGCTGGGAAATTTGTTGTCGCTGTGCAGAGAAATTGCTGGCGCACGCGATATTTTACAAAAATTCGAAAATTTGAAAAAACAACACGAGTGAAATTTCAACTGATGATTTTGCATTTTTAAGACGGCGATCAAGGAAATTAAATTGTTGGAAAAACTTCACTAACATCTCAAGTATGGAAAGCATCTACATTACCAGAAATTCAATTGTGGATTGATTCAAAATTCAGGCGATAAAGTTACATAGCTAGGAGTTGGCTTTTGTGTTCTTCGAATATAAGTTTTCATTCGCGGATTACCATAACTTGTTGGCCTCATGGGTGCCAAAATCGACATAAACGTAAACTGCTAACCAAGAGCTATAAAACAAATAGCTTTTGAAAAGATAAACTTTATTCAGTCAAAAGGATGAGGGTAAATAAACATGCTACTGCGTGATAGTGATTTTGAAGCAACTTTGTCACATATATTTTAAAAAGTGTGATAATGAATCAAATTTTGCTTTTTGCAATCCCAAAAAGGTATGAAAATTATTTAAATATTTAAGGTTTCCATGTTTCTAAAGTATTTTTTTGAGAAAAGTAAAAATTTTCCCGATAAAAAAGCATAGTTTCTGCAGAAAACTGTTTTCTGATAGAGAAGGTCCTGGGGGAGGGGGTGTAGAAGCGTGCGCGGATAGCAAAAAACCTTGACGTTTCCTCCAAAAAATTAATACCAAATTTTGTTTTGCCTTTGTTTGATATGTAATTTAAACAAGTTTTTTTACATCTAAAAATTGCCCCTAGTGGTCAAAACTTGGATTATGTTCGCAGTATTGGCCATTTGTTTACTTTGGGGGATCAAGGTTTGAGGTCCAATTATTTTTAAAGTTTGCAAACTACCCAGCTAATTCTTGGCTGTTGTTTGCAGCCTTGTATGCTGATTAAAATTTAGTTTAGTCCACAATAGTAGATCCTTTCAATGAAGGGAAATTCAAAATAGTATATTTGATTACTTTTACAGCACAGTCATTACATAGGTAGGGTGCAATACCAGGCCAAATTGCAAAAAAAATTACCGATTCCTCCAAATTTAAAATCATATTTTTTTGCTCCCAAGGCACATAGGAAGCATAATTTAACAATGAATTTTGTTGAAAAATTGCCCCTTTGCGTCTAATTTTGCTTTGAAATGCGTGCGTTTACTGCTCTTGTATGAAGCAAGAGTTCGAAAACATTCCGAAGTACTGTAAAATGTAATGAAATCGACAACTTGACCTTGCCCTTGAGACCTTGTACTGCCTCAGCACTGAAATGTTTTTTGACAAGGATAATTTACCAGTGTTTCTTGAATATTTTCCTTGTTTAACTAGTAGAACCGAACGTACAAGTGCATCAGAAGACTAAGCGAGAGTTTTGTGTAGAAATGCTCTGTTTACGGGAAGTTATTTTGCATTTGCAAGCGTCAACAAAACTGCGGCATCAAGTTCACAGTTTGATTATCATAGCGATAGATAAAAGTTTTGAAAATTCAATTGAAAACATTTTAAACCACCCGTATTTGTATAGAATATATGTTAGTTGTATTAACATTGAGCTTCTTTCTGTTTGAACCCAAATTTGAACTTGTTTTGCGTTTGACAAGGCTGTCAAGCTCGCGACGATTGGCCGTTTTTAATATACCTCAGTCAGGCATGACTACAGATTTAGCGTGTCAAATGTCTTCTTCTTTGTGTCAAGATTATAATATTCTATTGCTGTTCAAACGAGATATTCTATACACTGGAAACGTAGAGTACATTTTACTTTGTCTTTGTCTCAAGCAAAAAAAGTATAAAGATTAAACAGGCATTCAAAAATATACAACAATCACGAACACTCGTAATATTTCTTCGGGGAAATCTTCAAGTTTCAATGGAAATCTGGCGCATGCGCAACAAATTTCCCAGCTGTTGTTATTTCCTTGAAAATTCCTTGAAATTTCATGAAGCAGTTTGCAGTGATTTTGCAGCAATACAAAGGATTTAATTAATTTTCAAGGCACAAAATAGCACAATTAACAAAGATATGGGCTAGCTAAAAACCAAAGGCTATTATACTGTTTAAAATTAAATATTTGTTATGAATTTACAAGAGATACCTTTAAATTGATATGATTAATTAACTATTCACAACGTTTGGCGCCAAAAGTTACTAAATCCCATCGCTTAAAAACTTTCGGAAATTTCGGAACACGAGAAAAAGTTAAAAACAGATTTTTAATTAAAGATAATTGATAATTCACTCAAAAATTTAAAAAAATGGAAACCTTCTTCTGCACTAATGCGCTTGGGTGAATATTTAAGTTTTTCGGAAAAAATCCTTAGATTTCCTTAGATTTTTTCTCTTCCTTAGATTTTCCTTTTCGACAGTAGAATTTCCTTAGAAAAGGAAATTTCCTTGAAAATGGAAGCACTGGTTAGGTTAGGGTTTAGGTTAGGGTTAGGTTGGGGTTACTTAGGGTTAGGTTTAGTATTAGGGTTAGGGTTTAGTTTTGCGTTAGGATAGTTTTTTCTACGTTATAAAAAAGGAAACCTTATTTTGAAGTATACTATCTAGCAATCACCTTAAAAGTACGAATCTGTCAACTATTTTGCAGTTTTGTACAAAATATATGAAAATAAAAATTTAAGAATATCGTGTTGTCATGGCAACACTTGAGCGCGAGCCTGCGTTCAGTGCTGGTCATTTCTGAATACTTCATGTTTAATGTATGGAAATATTTGCGAGGGGTTACTGCATGCATGTATTTCTAGTTTTATAAGTTCATTGCAGTTTTAATTTAAATTCAGCCGTTTTAATAGTGGGCTGCTATGCTATAATTAGATTGTTGTTGTCGTTGTGTGAAATTTAAATTTCTCCTGCGACATTTTGATTGGATACTAAATATAAAATTTGCTGTGGGCGGAAAGCGATCAGGTTAAGTTTTCTCATGACACATGTTTCCGCTTAGTTACAATCGACGGTAATTTTGTTGTTTACGAGCATAGATGGCTCAGGATTGTCCGAACATCTTTATCTAGTTACTGTAAAGTCGTCTTGGAGTAAAATACTTGTGCAGATCATGTCGGATGATGAGGGGAAATCTACAAGTATGTATATGAATACTAAGAGTCTAAGGCCATGGGACTGAAAGTCATAGATTTACGTCCGGGTAATTTTTATTCATTATTCATTATTCATTGTTCATTTTTTACCATTGTTTTGGGTGGTAAAGCCTAGTTGTTAGTTGTCGCTGGCAGGACAAGCGGTAGATGTGAAATAGTCTAATATAATAAGAGTCATATTATAAGAGTCAGTGTTATATGCAAACCGTCGTCTTATTCTTATAAATGCTTGCAGAGTTTTATGAAGTTTGGTTGACATCCTATTACATCAGGCCACTTGACGTGCCAGCGGCAACTAACGACCAAATGGAAACTAGGCTTAAATACAGAGATAAAAACACGAATTACCGTTCACGCCATGGAATTACATATATTGTTTGCCAATTTCGCAATTTCGGTAAATATAATTTGGAATTTCATATGAATGTGAATACTAAGGGCAAACATATTGCAATATGTTCATTTCATTGTAATCAATACACAATTTTATTGCTAATTTTATTGAGTTTTGCTTTATTTGTGAAAATAATGATTTTTTTTGTAAATAATGAAAATTTTAGGCGGTATCTTTTGAGGCATGCGGGCGGCGGTGGACGCAAATCTATGACTTTCATTCCCATGGCCGAAGACAAAATTTGACAGAGAAGTAGAGCATAGAAGATTCTTATCTCAAATCCTCTAATTTCTTGCATCAATGCAAGATGATTTATAAGTTTCATTAGAGATTAGAATATTACACACTCTGTAGTTTATTACTGTGAATTTCATTTCCAATTTGTTATTAGTTTAATCAATTACAGCTACCCCAATTAAAAAAATATTTTGAGGGCATCTCTCTCGAATGAATAATATTAGATGGGTATTGTGGATGGAAATTGTCGAGTGGAAATTTATATATATTTATTAGACCTGACCAGGAATAGCTGCAAAAAATGCAAGTTTAGGTCCCTGGCAGGAATCAAACCTACAGCCCTGCGATGGCCACATGTTTGATTCCTGCCAGGGACCTAAACTTGCATTTTTTGCAGCTGTTCCTGGTCAGGTATAATAAATATGTATAAATTTCCTCTAGACAATTTCCATCTACAATACCGACCTCAATTAAGCTTGTCATATATACGGTATGTGCCTGTGTAGTTATTGCCAATAGTCCTGGTGGATTCCATGTTATTGTCATGCCGGAGGTGCGCCAAAGCAATTGCCAACATACCCAAGGCTGTTTTCCTGCCAGTACTATTTTAAAGCAAAAATCAATCCTATTTCCTTTGAAGCTTCTGCCAGTTCGCATTTAATTTATCGGTGAAAAAACATATACAAATTTACAGATCTGCGACAAACAGTTTGGGCGTAAAAAAAAAT